GACATCACTATGTAACACTCACGCTTTATATTTGCTAGCGCTCAAACACATTGTACGGTAAGAGGCGGAACATCTCTAAGCGGTTGACCAATCACAACAGAGCCGGCCAGCTAACCAATCAGAGCAGACTGGGCTCTGGTTTCAGACAGAGGGTGAAAAGAGGTGCTGCAGCACAGGCAGTATGAGAAAAATAAAGAGCTTTCTGAACGTTAAAGCATGGAGACATGTCACAGTAGAGGTACTAGACACAAATACAAATACCTATGTCTTCGTTTATGTGTTGTCTGACTTCTGTAATTTTCTCTATACTGTATGAATTATTATGTGTTTAATATTCCGTTTGTAATATTTAGTTGTAAATCGGATTTATTCGGTGTTGTGTTTTCTGCTATTGTTCCTCAATCTTTTTTTAAAACAATAGACCATATACTGTATATAACAACTTGAATGATCATGCATGTTTAATCAGATTTAACAAACTAACATCATCTCTGAATTCGTAGATATTGCATTGTGCAAAATTAGTTGCATCAGTTTCTGTTTATTTGCAACAAAATAAGAAATAAAACATTCTACCGTGATAGAATACCAATATCCCTCTATTCAGCTCATGTGCCAAACAGGAGGCATTACCATACAATATATCATGCACACCCTTCATGCATTTCAAAGATCCAGAGTGTAGCCAAAAGACAAAGAGCACATTATTTCAGTCCATTTGCACACCATCAATCCAAGCTACCTCATATTGTATATTCCCAATGGGACATGACTAATACATTTGCATATATTAATGATAACAAACAGATGAGGATATGCCCAGCTTCCTGGTAAATACAGGAAGCTATTTCTGGTTTACTTTGCAGTCCTGTGAGAGGAAGAGACACTGAAGCCTTGAAGTGCATTGACATTATTATGCTGGATTCATAGCCCACTCTTCTCCCTTTTGTTCTTCAGCTTTCAGGGCTTTTGCTTCCTCAAAGAGGCCCCTGGGACCCAACACAAAATATATAGCTTCTGTGTGTTTCTCATAATTGGCTCTAAGGTGACGCAAGGCTCCGAGTTGTTCCAGCGGACTCCAAAAACAGTTTGAATCCAGCCATTGTGCTCACACGCTCCTCAGCCATTTGTTGATGTATTGCAGCATGACTGTCAGTCCTGACTCGACCTCTGGGCTGCAGGGTCGCTTCATGAGACTCTTCTCACGGTCAAAAGAACATCTTGTATTTGCTAACATGTTTGGTATTTGCACTACAGCCAGGGAGTTGATACAAGCTTTCCATAAAAGGTACTACAGTAAAGTAGTGTTTCTTCCAGGCATTGCATCACCAGCAAGCGGCAAATGTATCATTACTGATAACCTTGACCATGATCATTTATGAATAGATAACGATAATAATGAACTACTAAGTGCATACAATACTTGATGTTTTTGCCATTTCTCTACATCATTCTGTATTTAAAGGAAGTCATCCGCTCTATTGACATTCATACACATACGCTCTAGTCCAGTAGACTGTTTCCTATTCCTGCACAAAATGAATATAGTTGAGCAAACAATAGACATTGCAAAATGACCCATAAGATAATTTTCTGATCTGAAGTATGCTTAGTAAAACTAAAACTACATGGATGCGGTTAACAGAAGATTGCCTCCATATTCAGAGGCAACCATTTCAATATTTTCATTATTGTAAAGTATTCCCTTAAGAGACAACAAACAGTAATGGATTGAACAGAATAATGAGTACAGTGTAATAACAAATCTAGTTAAGATAGAAGATAAGATATTAAATCAAATGTAGCTTTGCCAGGAGATTGCCCACTTCACCAAAGAGAGGCTATTATCTCGTAGTGTTGAATGTGCCTTGGCAAATGTTTTCCAGGATTAGTTGCAAATTCCTTGTTCCAATTCAAACAAGTGAACAGCAGCTTCAAATCTGATGACAGCCAACAACATTGCTACGCTTTTCTTATGAATTATTATACGAACAACAACCAATTAAGTGTGGTTTTGTATATCGATGAAATGGCATGGAGTTCTATGCCCTTGCTGATGGTAAAAGTCCGAAAATAAACAAACATTCATCACATAATAACTACTGGTTGTATTGATTAAAGCACATGTGTCAAACTCAAGGCCCGGGGGCCAAATCAGGCCCTTGGTGGATTTAATTTCGGCCCGCAGGATAATTCTTAATTACTATTAGATCTGGCCCGCCAGTATATTGCACGCACACCTTCACTCAATCCTGAGGATTTCCTCCGCTCAGAGCCTGACCCCAAACATTGATGAACTTGCACCCAAGATGAGATGCCAAGTATCTGGCTTGAACTAGCATCACAGAGCAGCACACTGAGTTTACATGGATGTTTCCTTCTGCACTTTTTCTCTTGAGACAGCAGGGCATGTTTGGTTTTTTCTTTGAGGGAAATAGTTTTTTTGAAGCTGTTGTTGGCCTGTGGAAAAATGTAATCATAAGAAATGACTCTGCAGATAGAGCCATAAGAAATGACTGCAACTGATTATTTAATGTTTAATGTTGTTTTTATAGGCAATAATTTCAGCTTTGTTAGTTCCAGGTTTAATATGTGCAATAAGTTCATTTCAATAAGTTTTGCAATAAACATTGAACCAGTCCGGCCCTCGACTAGTACCCATTTTTCCATTTTGGCCCACTGTGTATTTGAGTTTGACACCCCTGGATTAAAGGATCATATAATAACAAGTATATACTCAAAGCAGGAGAAAGGCTTCATTGCTAAAAGAATGGTTTAACATTTTTGGGAAATATGTCTATTCACTTTCTCTCCTGAGATCGATTTTGACTTCATATAAAGCAACAGCCAGCAGCCAGTTACAGTAGCATAACTTACTGCAAAACTGACACATCTATCATCACACAACTTGCTGTTTTTGTACTTAGTTTTTTATGTAAAAAAATATCAATTAGTGAGTTTTAAAAGTGCTGGTTCGCAGATTTAGTTACCTTTGGACAGATCCAGGCTAGTTATCCAAAGATAAGCTAAGCTAACATGCAGACATGAGAGTGGTATAACTCTTCATAGGGAGACTGTGGCTGCGAGGGAGTGTCGTCTTTCAACCAGAAGGGTTGTGGGTTCGATCCCAGCCCATGCAGTCAACATGTCGATGTATCCTTGGGCAAGATACTTAACCCTGAGTTGCTCCTGATGGCATGGCCAACGGTGTGTGAATGTGTGTGAATGTTAGGTCCTAGAGTAAGGTACACTGCTCTGTATGAATGGGTGTGAATGGGTGAATGACATGTAGTATGTAAAGCGCTTTGAGGGGTCTTAAAGACTGGATAAAGCGCTATATAAGTACAGTCCATTTACCATTTATATATAGCCATTGGCAAGAAGTAAAAATACATTACTTTCACAAAATATTGAGTTATCGTTTAATAATACCAATACCTGAAAACCCAACAGTGGCTTTATCACCGTAAATCTGTACTTTATTTACAGTGCAATGCAGGATCAGCGGACCCCCAGGCTCTAAAGGTGTTTACAATGCAACCACCGAGGACAATTATGAGGAGAACAAAAGAAGAACAACTTAATGTCAGAGGCTTAATATATTAAGCCTCTTTACTGCCAAAATCCCTTTCTGGCAGAGTGTTGTGGCGGACAGAAGGTGACCAAAGATTTAGGGAGTCCACACAAATCATTTTGGAATCATGTCCTTCCCCTCCCCTTTAAAGAGCCTCTCCACAACAGGCAGCATCGCACTGCAACAGAAAAGAGTACATCTACTATAGTGAGGAGTACGAGCCGACCAAAAACTCACCACCATTTCTCTGCAGCTTGAGGACAAAGAGGAATTCAATGAATAAGCGTGACGTGAAAGGACGCCATCTCATTAAGCCGACTAGCAAACAGGCTAACGGTTTAAATGTATTGTAAGTGAGCTTGAGCTGTCCTTTTTTCTCCCTTTATAACACTTTCGACAAGAAAGAGTGACTGAAATGGAAATGCAGTAGATGAAGGCCAGAGATGAATGAGTCAGTGAGTCCACGGCCATCTATTAGATTATCATCGAGTGCTGGAGTCAGACTAAATGCCTGAGCGCTGCCTTCTCTGCACAGGTGTCTTATTAGAGAACTGCACATCATCCTCCCCAGCTGATTAGCTCTTGTTGGTACACTTTGTCGGTGCTTTTCAAAGTGCATCTAGGACATTCAGAGTACAAGCAGTTTGCATTTTCAGTGCTTTGCATAACTACCAATAGCAACATGATTTATATGAAAGAATATTTATTTCTGCCTTATGTGTTATTGTGAAGTGTCACAGTGATCGATTAGGAGAGGACAAATCATTGTACAGTGCTGAAATGATTCACGAGCCAATGAATCAATTAGTTGATAGCCAGGAAATTAATCTACAAAGAATGGATAAGCAATTAACCTTTCAAGTCATTTATCAAGCAGAAATGCCTAACAAATACCAGGATTTAGTTATGTTTAAGTAATAATATACAGATCTTACACCACAGTGCAGACTTTACAGCACAACATCAATATTATACATTAGTCACTTTAGCAAATCACTTTTAGATTAACCATTTTTTCATTTAGCCTACTGAACAGATACAACTGTAAAACATTTTTACAACTAAAACGTACTAATATGGTGTTGTTTACAAGAGAATAATGTGGCTAATGTAATTTCACATATTTTAAATTGCTCCTCCCATAAAGTCAAACTATGTGTGTGTTTAAATCCCCTGTTTCTGCGCTCTGATTGGCTGGTTTGTGGCCCTGATGTTGAGGCATTTAACATCTGGGGGAAAAGTGAGCTGCATCTGGGCGGGGCTTAACACAAAAGTTCGAATTACTAACCAATAGGAGGCGACGTGGTCCTAACGTCGCTTCCTGATTGGCTAGAACGTCTGTCAGACTGCAGCTTAGGGGGCGTGGCCTGAGCTCCGGCTCCCGAAGTGTTGTGACTTCAGTCTGGCTCCAGTCTTGTCACAGGAGTGAAGGGGCGCCTTTCTCTGGTGCTCTGGGATTACTAATGAAGAAAACTAGCAAAAACTAACAACTCTGCCTCGTCAAAACGAATTTGTACCGCTTCAGTATCTCCTCTGAGAGACAAAGAGGGGTATTTTTCTCTTTTTACTGGACGTACGAAGGAAACAATAAGGTAAGAAGTGGTGCTAGTTGATGACTTTAGCGATGCTGCTGCAGCTGCGTTTACTTAGCTCATTAGGAGGCTGATGCTCCAAGTTTCCCACAGAGGAGACATTAATTCACCTTATTAATGGTGTCCAAACGTCTACATTAATTTTAATCACGTAAACACAACATTTCCTTCACGTTTTATGCGCTTAAACTCTGCCATAAGTTGCATTTTGGTTCCGTAGAAGCGGCTTGTTTTTCCCATTTTCCTCGGCTGTGTTTCGTCTCTACACTGAAGGCTGATTGCAAGCCAGTATTATCTGACTTAATGATTTCTGCAAGCTATTAGACATGTGTGTGTTCCTCTCTTTGTTCGGGGTTTTCATATACATTTGCAGATTTGCACATGCATTGTGTAAACGCCTCAGTGTTTTCCATTTCTGCACGACTCATAATCAGGTTTTCTCAGTCTGTTGCTGCAACTTATTATCAGGTATTGGACCCAGATAAGCTATCATTGAGTGGCGTCTTAGCCGAAGACACTAATTGAATTTGGATACTCAGGTTTATTCCCCACCGGAGACAGACCACATTTGTTTCTCAAGACCTGTTTGTGCACCAAATCCTTTAACTAGCAGATAACGTTAACGAATCGGCTTTTAACAGAGAACACTGTTCGATTATATTGAAGCTGCACCCTCTCACTTTGCATGGATTTCACCTCTTAAATCATGCTCGCTTCATCTGCATTTTGTCTGAAAGCCAAACTCGATGAGCTCATTGTTGTAACAGGTTTCTGCTTTTGCACGCAGACTTCCAGCAGTATTGGACTTGAGTATTGACTACGACGCACAGAGAGAGATGAAGAAAGCTGTGTTTTTGTCTCATCAGACTCCCAGGGGCTGCTGCTGCTTTATTTATGCTGCTGCTCTTGAGCCATCCTGCAGAACTGGGTCTGTGATTTGTCTCAGCCTGGTGTGCATTAGCCCTCTCTTAGCCCTCAGTGGGTGTTCACTTTCAGTCGAGGCAAAGAACATTTCAACAATAAATACATCTCATATGCACGCGCGCGCACACACACACACACACACACACCCCTCTTCGATCTTGTGCCTTCTTGCCTCGCTCAAAGGCAGCCGGGCTCTTCTCTGATCTATGCTCGCCTTGCAAAAGTTTTGGAGTCATTTAAAAACAATGTATGTTCAGCTTACGGGGTGCATTGATTGAGCAGCAAAGGCAGCTTTTGCTTATTCAGAATAAAGCTCTTGTTTTGGCTGTTGGAGGGGAACACATCATGCCCTATCTAGCCCAAGCAGTCAGATGTTTAAGTGGAAACGGTGTGGTCGAGTCTTGTGATTTTCTTTGGTTTTGCCTGGTCTCAGCGGCAGTGCTATCACAGGATGGGGAGGCCTGATGATGGCTTGTGGTTTCCTACCGCACATTTACAGTGACTTAGCACTCTGGTGCTTAGAGGACGTTGAGATGAGGTTTCAGGTTATTTTATTTGACATGTTACTGGCCTGCTGACAAGGGAAGGTGCTGCTTCCCTGCAGGAGAAGTGAGATGCTCCTGTGTAGCGGCTGTAGCCTGATGAATTGTGTCTGATACCTACCAGCAGTGTCTGTCTGCACTCCTACTTATACTATATATAGTGCAAACAAATCTATATTCAAGCCTCGATTGTGGCAGTCTCCCACGCTCGCAAACAATCAACTGCTCTCTCCTTTTCTTTTAACCCGACACCATTAGGGAAGTCACATTCTGCTGACGGGTGAGTTGAACGTGTGCTAGTGCAAAGAACGAGCGGGGCATTCATTTCCTCGTCACCTCTGGAAATTGCTTGCTCTTCGTCCGGCTCTCATTTTCAGCGCCTGATAGGTCCGCCGCACAGTTAGCATGGTTAATGGTGCATTTAGCCCAGTGTGTAATTTTATTTCCGATTTCCATTTCGCCACTTGCTTTTAGTTTGGAATGACAAGAGGCCCCCGATGAAGGGGCCCCCGTTTGTGCAGATGGCGTCTTCCTAATGGTCCTCAGGGTAATGATGGTTGAAATAGGCTCCTAACAGGGACTGAGGACTGTGGCCCTTGGGGAACATTCAGCGGGCCTATTTCCATTTTCATCATCGAGATAAAGTGCTCAATATCTGAACATAGCTCTGTATAACTCTCATACACGCACGGGTAGTCTGCAGTTTTGATTGGTCAGGGGAGAAATGTGAATTTTAGTGGCATACACAAAGACACGTTACATTAAACCCCCCGGGCGAAGTTGAAGTTGCTGAATTGCTTCACTCGGCGCTCATTCCCAACCCCCATTTCAAGCTCAGTGGAACTTGAGAGTATAGGATGATATTTTTTGGGCTATTGTTGTGGCACCACGACAACAGTGATTTGTCTAAAGTGTCGCAGACCTCACACACACACACACACACGGCTGCATTGTACAAGTGCTGCTGTCTGAAGAATGGCTGGCGTGGCGGCGTGCTTCAGGAAGCAACAGTTAATCTAATCTCCTCATCCGCAACATATGGGACTTTGTTTGGCCCCGCACCTGAGAGAGGCACCGGCCTGTGGCACCTCATATTTCATTTTGATAATGGCTAGTTACCCGTGGCAACTGGGCAGCCAATGAGAACCCCCTTTCTTAAAGAAGATAGTGTAGAAAGGAAGAAGAGGGAGGGTAAAGTGAATGTGAGCTTCAAGGCTGTGTCCCTGCACCCTCCCCCTCCCCCTCAGTACTCTCCCGGCTGTGTCCAGTGAAGGGTGTGGGACCCCTGGGGAGTGAATTATTACCTGTCAGCCCTGCAGGCTCCTGGCCATCAATAACCCAGGCTGACGCAGCACAGGCCGGTCCAGGTTATCTGCAGAGACCACCGGGCCTTGGCCCCCAGGTCTGGCCCGTTTGGCCAGAAATCACATTAACATGTTGCGTCGAGCGTAACAAATGCACCGTTAGGAGCAGGCGGACGCGTGCCTTCTGCTGAAGAGCATCCTCCATCACTGTCCTGACTGGCTGGGGGTGTTTCTTTGTTTTTTTCAATCGATTGCAGCCACTCTTCCAATGTTCAGTCAACATCTAAACTGTGCTTGGAAGAAACGTTTCCCGTCAATTTGCTTGAAAATATCTTCCACATATTGGCTTGCATGATTTTAAAGTTAATTTGCCTGTGGTGGCACAGACTTGCAAAATGCCAACTGCCAATTTAGTTACATCCGTTTCCCCTTTTTCATTTATTGTGGTAGCAGACTGGAAGTAAAGGTGAATACAGTAGATGTTTTCAGCACTGACAACCCTTTCCCCCCCCTACTAGTCCAATCATCAGCTATCAGGTTTGATCCTTGGCAGGCTTGTAATTACGCTTGATTCCGAAAACGGGCGTGCAGTGGCTCTACCTCCTGCGGTCCTGCTGTGGTTACTGCAGGCCTGGAAATTATAGCCAAGCTGATGAGTGTGTCAATTCTGTGAGGAAAGGCTTTGAGTTCAGTGAAAGGCCAGAGGGAAGGAGAGGGAGAAGAAGAAAAAAAGACCACGATCTGGACGAGTGACAGGCCTCGCTCCGACCGTCCAGACTGGCTGTCTTCCTGTGGTTTTGTGGAGCTGTGTTGCAGAAACGTTAACCCCTTGTCGAACATGGACTTGGCTCCGCCTGCCAACCCGCCGCGGCCACAAGCAGCGCAGCACGAACACTGGATGACTGTCTGGTTACGCTTCATGAAGCTCCGTGGATTGAGTCCAGCAATTACAGGGGAAATATAACCTGTAGCGTGCACTGTCAGCAATTTGCCTCATATTTACAGGCCAGAGAGGGGCTCGTGTCGAAGAAGGGAGCTTTGTTAAGAATTAAAACCTCAGACTTTCATTCTCCTTTGTTTCCTTTCTATGCAAAGTCATGTGCCGTGTTTTTGTTTGGGGGTTTATTTTGGATATTTGGTCTGAGTCATAAGTGTAGATTCATGCTTTGTCTTCTTGTCCTCCTCACCCCTGTATTAGTTGCCCTTTTTTTAGAGGAAGCAGAGAGTATGTATTCACACACACACACACACACACACACACACACACACACACACACACACACACACACTCTTTGATTTGTGTAGCATGGAGGCTGTGCGTGCTACCCACAGGGCAGCTTGGAAGGAGCATCCACAACAAAACGGATCTCATTTTGAAAGGGAAAGAAAAAACGAGTCATCCAAGAAAGGAATCCTTGTCATTTTTCATGCATATTTCATGCACAGAAATAGCAAACGCGGCATCATATGGGCATGGATTTTCATTGCTTTAAAGGATTATTAGCTGATGACTAAGCGCAAAGATCTTCCAAAACTCCCATTCAGACTCGTCGTCACCCACAATCCCCAGAATCCTCTTTATTTTCAAAAAAACCCTCACACTCAGAAGGATAATATTAACCTTCAAAAGATTAAGATAATACAGACATCACAACACACTCAACCTCGCCACCATGGATGGAACAGGAATATAACCCCTCCAAATCCACTTCGATTCTCCCTGCTCCTGTGTTTAATAGGAGGAAGCAACTGAAATAAGGAAACAAGTGTCTCAGTAAATAGCCTGTGGCCATACCACTTATTGATCGCTGGACTCAGAGCTGGGTGGACTGGGGGAAGGCAAAAGTGCATTGGTGTGTTGCTCCAAATGATCTCTTAATCACTTCATAATGAGTTCAGACCTTCCGCATCATTGATTAGCCAGCCAGGCTGAAAGTGGAGCAAATCACACCCCCCCCCCTCAAACCTAACCCTCCCCCCCGGCGTCCCAATCCCAATCATCCTTCCTGCTGGTGGAGGACAAACCAGATGCTGCTGTAAAACAATCGAGAAGGCAATTGTATACGCCGCGATAAACAATAAATGAGTGACCTTGAAGAGTTTTGCCATATGGGCTACGCCTTAACTCACGGTATACATCTTCAATATCGTTTTTGTCCAGTTTGTAAATTGATTTCTTGACACATCTGACCACTCTGTGATTTTGCGTCGTGATTTCGGACAACATTTG